CTATAGTGAACTCTAATAACTGATGAAGGAAGCGATCCATTTAGCCTGGGCTCTTAAATATGCATATAGTGCTTTTTAAAGTGCATGTTTGTACTAAAATACCCAGGTAAGCGGCCTCTCTTCTGCTGGCGGGGAGGCACCAAAGTAAGTCCTTCCAGAAAACAAAGCAAAACAAAAATATTGCTATAGCAGGATACTTCAGGAACTTGCACAAAGACGTGCATTAATCCTTCAGGGTGTGCTTGGCTGAAGCTAGGCTTCAAAGAAAGCACTAAGCTAACAGACTGTCTTGCCAACCTTCTTCCTTATATGCGTATTCCACGGGTGATACGCATACACTTCAAATCTCAGCCTGAGCTTTAGCTGACTTTTACATCAGCATGCTGGATGCTTCTTTGCTGGAAAGGTGAGCAGGTGGGAGGGGACAAAAGATGTTAATGAAAAAACTCCTTGGTAACACAGATGCTAAATCATGATTTGACTCACCAATATATTCAACTCTAATAATAAAAGAAATTATTTAAGACAACACTGTATAGAACGCATATTCTAGAATAATAGTCACATCTGAGTCCTGTCCTGAAGATGTTACATCTACAGACCAAGCAATTACCAACAGCACACACCATAAGCAGCATCAGGACTCAGAATGACTCATCTGGGTTATAATCTGTTTGCAGTGACTGACACAAAGATCTAACAAGCATTACTGGTGCTTCAAGATACTATTGCAGTGCAAACAATCATCTACGTTCAAAAATCAAGGGCAAAAAAATCAAACCCAAATAAAATCAATTATAACTTAGATGAATAGTTAATGCCTTTAGATTGTTAGTAATTAATATCCTTATGGCAACCATCACTTTTGAGCGATAGGAGTGCAAGAAGTGTTAAAAAATAAACACATTTTAGCTGTAACATCTATCAGGTCTCTTTACAGGCACTAGTGTAAATTAATATAACTTCTTGATTGCAACATAACAAATATCCTGAAAAAATAGGGAGAGCCAATGTCTTAAGAATGAGCTTATGTAAAGAAAGAAAGTAAGTATCAGAATGTGTTAAAAATCACCCCTGAAAGTAAGATTCAGGAAATCCTCCACAAGTCCTTTGCCTTCCCCTTTTGCTGTGGTGGCAGTTTTCAAATTTTAAGAGACAAAACAATGATTTTTATGCTTTTGATAACAAACAAACAAAAAAATCAAGATAGTTATCCAAGAACTGCTGGAACTTAAGAAAATCAAAATACAACTGCTCACTATTCCAGTATAGATAAATAATTTAAGTCCATGGGAATTTTTCTACTAAATTTTACAGCATAAAGCAAAACTCAGACTTCAATCTACATACAGGGTTGAAGGGGCTTCGCCAGCTGTTTAGGAATTCATATAACTGGTCTTATAGACAATCTGATACTGAAACATATTAGGTTAGTAGCTGATTGTGTATGTTGTACCAGATTCCTTCCTGCACCTTTAGTAAGCATAGGTATGCTAAGATATTATTTTACATCAGATTACAAGTAATAAAAATGCATCTTTCTCAGAATAGCTGAACAGAACGCTAAATTTTATGAAAAAAATTAATAATTTTCTTTCGTTTATCCATATTGAATGGTCTCTAGCAACTACAAGGGTGAGAAACTCTACTAGGTTTGGTAAATTAGAGACTGGGCTGACAATCATAGCATAATGACGTAAGTGTGTATGAACATGTTTGTATATTCCCCTGACCCACCCAGACACCAAGCAAAGTGCAACAGTTCACAGAGATTACGTACCAACCAGGATGAGGAAATCCGTACACAGCAAAAGTTGCAATCTCCAAAATCTTTAGTTAGGGAAGAAAAAAAGTAGTCAAAACCTTACTTCGTAATTCTGAGTTTCAAAATTTACGGAAGTTTCTTGACAGGAAACATTTTCAAAAGCTTTAAGCCGCTAATTTAACTCAGTTTAAAGCTCTGAAATTATCATGTTTGACCAGGTATTCCCCCAAATTAATCCAATTTACACACATAATCCAATGGTGACACATATAAGGATATACAATGAATTACATTAACTGTGAATTTGGCCTCATCTGCCTTATGGGTTTCCGGCTTTTACCAAATAATGATAACAATATTCTGCAACTTTTTTTTTTTTTTACATTCAAAAAGCAAAGTGATTTTTAGCTATGTAACAGAATTCCTTATGTAATTACTTCAAGAGCTGGATGTTTCCAAATAACATTAAAAAGGCTGCTTGTAAGAAAGCTCACCTTTTCTATCAGTTTAAAAAAGCCTACCTCCAGAAAGGAGACCCTAAGAGAACCATTTGCCACCAAAACATGCAAGCGCCACTGAAAACCATAACACTGGCTCACGCTATTTAACTCAGCACATTAGTGTTGAATAAAAAGCAATTCCACTAGCTCTTGCAGTTCCTAATCATTCTAGTCAACAAAACCAGGAATACAGAAGTTAACAAAAAGCTTACCAGCAAAATTACAGTCAGAAGTCCATCAAATCTATTGCTTGGGTATGACAAGTATCTTTTCAAGCCCATTGCTAAGATTTTCAGCAACATTTCCAGCAGATAGTATAGGATGAAGAAGCAGTTGATAGCCTTCCCCCAAAAAATAAAAATAATTAGAATTATTGACACCTCAGGGAACAGCAGTAACTGTAGGAATACTGTTGCATCTTACCCCCAGGAAGAAGTCGTCTCTTTCAGATGGCTGCTTATCTGCATCCATCACCAAAACCACCTTAAACAACAAGAAATATTTTATGAATCCACTGCTTTACTGCTGCATAAAACAGATTTTTAAGCACAAGAACAAAACACAGTCTTTTATGCTTTGCACAGACCTTTTCAAGCAGCTTAGAAGGTATTTTTTAACTGCAGGTATTCTATTCTAAGACTTTGCAAGACTAAAGCATGCCAAACACGGACATCTGCTACAAAAAGTGGTTATCAGACCAGAGACTAAAGAACAAAAACAGAACTGAAGTTTGTAGCAGGGGAAAAACAAAAACCACAAAACAAAACAAAAAACTTTTACTTACACAGATAGAAACAATGTTTGCAAGGGCTACAACATTCCCCAAGTAGCCAAAGTAGGGATGGCCAAAGGCAAACTGCATTTTCTGCAGAAAATGGGATTGATACTGTGGACTGGGAGGATGCTGAAAAGAACACACAGGATTTGCTGTGAGACACAAAGCATAAACATTTTAATAATGATGCAGGAAACACACACCCCATCTCAGATTTAAGAAACAGACATTTTCAAAGCAAAACTTCAAAACCACATGCTAATTTTGACATTTCAGTAGGAAGGTGTTTCCAAGCTCTGGCTATTAGCAGGAAGAGATCATTTCTGATTAGCAAATGGGTTGACAGCTATGGCACAACACAAGATAATCCAACCTCTCTCCAATGCCCCAAGCAGGTAAACTAAACACCAAACCACTAATTGTATACATTCCTTCCCCACTTCCCAACATTTAATCTCCCTTAAAACATTCAGAAGTCTTAGTTACACTTATTTAGAAGTCTAAGTGTTCTTAGAAAAGAATTCTAACTAACCCTTGAAAAGTTTGATTTTTTTTTTTTTTTCTTTCTTTCTTTCTTTCTCCTAGTGGAGAAGACTGCTTTCTGCCCATCTTCATCTGAACTCTTAAAGAATCCACACTGCACTCTTCATTCAGGGACTGGAGAAAAGACTTTGCCCGAGTATAGTTAAGTGTTACCCTGCAAAGACTAATATATAGCAGAGATGCACTGCTTTAATATAGGACTGTCACGACAAGACAAATCCCTCGTATTTCATCAAAACCAATTTACTACAGAGGTACTCACTTCTCCACAGCACTTTTCAGAAAGTCTATGCTATAAGTCTAACTCCTATTCCTTGTTCCTTTGTAATGAATCTTCCTATTAAACAAAACACACACAAAGAGCCTTCATCTGTTTTGTCTGGCCAAGTCACTTAAAAATGCTGACAGAATAAACAACCATTTCATATATATAAACAACCATGCATTTTGTATATTTAATACTACCTGGCAATCCCAAACTAATGCTGTAACAGCCCCCAAAGCAATGCCATTTGTGACTATAAGAGTAACCCACAAACAACTTAAAAATCAATGACATTTGATCATGCCCCACATTCAACGAATTGTGCAGTTTGCTTATAAGCTTTATAGCAGAATACTATCACTTATTTTTGCACAAGACCACACTCAACTTATGACACTTTATAAATGATTGCCAGATACATACTTGCTTAATGGCATCTTTGTCTAGTTCTTCAAAGAGCTTCTGAAACTGGGCAGCTGACAGCTGGTCACAGGAGCACATTTTGAGTGACTTCACATGAAAAAGAAACATCCAGATCAACACCTGCAGTAGGTGCATCTTCAAACAGTGCCAACACCCTCAGACCGTCTTAAAAATCTAGGAATAGAGATGTAATACAACCTACACCAGGGTATTAGAGTGAGCTTCAATATTGCTTTGCTTTAACACAAAACTGCCACATGACTCTGGGATTTGGCTCGCCTTTTCTCTAGGATCATATGCTGCTTAAGAAGGAGCATGCTCTTTTGATATACTTGAATTTTTAGTCTCATCTAACATTGCCATCATTATGTTATGATCCAAGGAATGAAGATACTATGTCAGTTATCACTGCTCTGCAGAAGTTACTACCTGGAAGGATGGAAATATTTTACAAATTGTAACATGATGAAAACACTTCCATAGCATGCTAAACACTAACTGCAACTGTAGCACACATACCAACAAAAGAAATGGAAAAAACCCACCAGCAACAAGAAGAAAAACTAAAACTTGGATCTGCGTACCTAACAAACAATGCAATGGACAGCTCTGCATAATTACAGAGCAGGCTGTTTACTTTCAGGCAACTCTGCTTACACAACCCCTATCCCAGACAACAATGGGAAATAATACATGTATACCTCTTCATTCCACTTCCAACCTTCACATAGGAGCCAGCCAACTGCTGATGCTATAACCATCAGCTCTGAATTGTCACTTCCTTTTGGCAGAAGAGCTTACAATATAGACTTCCAAATCCTGCTGCAATGTTGTTCTTCAAAAGCAACATTACTTTTAGATAATTTTTCTGAAATCACACCAATAATCTCCACATCTCCTATTAGAGCTAAATAATTTCTCTAATCTCTGAAAATCGTGGCATGAGCTGCAATGTTAATTAAGCCTTTAGTTAAGCAAAACCACTCTCCCTGTAGTCTGATACAAGTATTAATATCTAGAGGGAGCAGCACAGCTAAAATCCAATGGAAGAAAAAGACATTTTCAAATGGGAGAGGGAAGCTGCTATAGACAGCAGCTCTAGACCACAGTGAGAAACGCTTTACTTCCAGAGAGAAAGTAAAGCAAATGAAAAAATTAACTCTGCAAAACAAGAGTTTTCATTACTCTACACATCTCTACAGATGAATGCGTTCCTCATCACACCAACTAAAGAAGTAGCAACCTTAAGGTGAAGCCATTGCCTAGAAACTGTTTTTGTTCTGAAGACCAAAACACAAACAGACACTGAGCTGGGCCTCCCTTCACACTCTTAAAGAAAGCACCAAAAAGAAAGCTGAGCTGAAAGCTACTGCTCCTAGATCAATGGTGTGATTAAGGCAATTTCAGCCCTCTGTCCCATCAGAGGGTTTGACAGTCACCAACATAAAGACTAAGAAAATACAGTTCTTACTCTCATGATGGCTTGCTTGCAGCGAGAATCCATTTCAACTTTCTGCAGCACTTGTAGTAAGGCCCCAAAGCTGACATATGACCTATTTAAAAGAAAACAGGATGGGCCCTGAAACAGATAACTGTCTTGATGGCAAAAATAGCTGTTCCAAATGCTTTTTTTTTTCTTTTTTTTGAAAAGCAGATAAAATTGGAAGTAGAAATAAAAAGGAAACAGACCCCATAAGAGTCCCAAACAGTGTATTATAAACATCCAGTTAAAGAAAAAAATAAAACAAAAGCATTGAGCAACAAACTGCCATTTTTCAAGAAGGCATCCTCAGTAAATGTACTAAACAAAACAAGATGATCAAAAATCTGCTCTTTTCTCCTAGATCATCTACTGTTTCAACGTTTTTCACTTACTGTTGTGCATTAGCAGGAGTCTCTTTCAGGGAAGAAAGCACTTCAAACGCAGCCCGGATTCCCAGTCGCCTCCTGAAGAGGGAGGACTGAACCGACTTCTGGACAGTAAAAACACCACAGAGGAGATAATTTACTTACACTTGTTTAAAGGAAATCCAACTAGATGATACAAATAAGACCTGGAAATTATTTGCCCAGCCCTTAGTCAGAACCTACTGGAAGCCTCAGAGAGGGCCATATCTGTTCAACTAAAATAATTTTTCAGGAAGGCAAGATACTGTTTTCTTTCTCCCACCGCCAAAGTCCCTGTCATTAGCCACTAATCTAGTTGTCTAGATACTGGGTCCAACCAGACAGACACTCCACACTTTAAAAGGAATACCACAAAGAGTCAGAAGCTTAAATCAGTGAAGCCCATTCCTACCAGAAGGACTTAGGGAAGATCAGGGGTACCCAGCTCCTCATGCAGTACTATATCCTACAGTCAGCTAATACACTGACCTTCTGGCACACAGCCCAGATTTGTGATTAGAGATCAGAATAGGAGACTTCCCTAGGCCTCGTTCCCTTCAAGAACTCCGTGTACGAGAAGGAAGGAAGCAAGCAAGCCAGCCTCTGGAGTTCAAGTAAACATCCAGGTCAGTTTGTTTTTAATTCTGTATTGCACAGGCACATGCCTGTTTCGGAGACAATAGCAACAGCAAAGCTCGAGTATTCACAGAAATTCATACTACGGTGCAGAGAAGAGTTAGACAGGTTTTCCAACTCCAGCTTCTTGCCAAAAAGAAGAAAGCCAGAGCCGCAGTTTTTTGTGCTTAATTTTCTTCATAGTAATCACTTTCAAACTCAGCTACTTTATTGGGAGTCAGATTATGGCACGCTCTCACATGGGAAAGAGGAAAATAGAGAAAGAAGGGAAGAAACAGAGCTGGAGGAAAGGATTACAAAAATTCCTCTTTGCACATATTACATTTAAACACCCCTCTCCCACAATGGGGGCCATTCCTTCTGTGTAATATTGCCTAAGGCTTACTATCCAGCAAACTTCACCTTCTCTCTGGAGCTCTACTAGAGCAGCAATGATCTCACTGTTCCCCCCAAGCCCTCAACTTCACTCCTCCTCTGAAGGGCTCAATGAACTATAAGACTATGTAAGTAAGAAGAAGGAACTATAAGACTCTATGTAAGTAAAGGGGGAAGTAAGTAACGGAGGAACTATAAGACCATAGTGTAAGTAAGTGGGAAAATCACACCCAAAGTCAAAGTCACCGAGTTTCCCCTGCCACCAAACCTGAAGGAAACTATAGGCATGAGAAAAGACCAGTTGGAACGTACACAATCAGGAACCGCTGTTCGTTCCAAGCTACAGAGGCCACCACCATACTGGCACAAAGGGAAAAAAGCTTAACCTACAGGCCAGAGGTTTAGCCTAGTGCTTTTGCATAGCACTACCCTGACTCAGCTCTACCAAACACATTGCTGTTGAGCTGGGAAGTTTTGTAAAATATGCAAGAGGAAAGTAAAAGACAGAGGTGGAAGTGAAACTGTTGAAGAACTAACTCAAGACTCGAGAGGAAAATTTCATTGTGAAAGTTACAAAGCTCAAAGAAAAATGTCAAACAGTTTGATGGCACCTCAGCAAGATCAAGACTCAGCACATTCTGAAGAGCAAGAGACTGATAGTTCCCATTTTGACTGATGACTGCCTGGCCAAAGATTCAGTTGTGTGCCATCAGTGTGATAATCGTTATACTTAGCCTAGCACTGTGTTATTTCTATTAATCTACTATGTGTGTTAACTGCTAAGTAACCGTGGTGCACCTTGGATGTTCTGTATTCATTGCTGGAGATCTCCAGCTGCACCCATGCAGCCTCTTCCTTCCACCACCTATCCAGTCAGTTACTTCTTTTTTGGAATAGCAATAGGAAAGTCATAAATTTAACCTCTTGGATGAAGTACGTCTTATTGGCAGTAACCGAGATGATCTTTCATTTGAGTTACGTTGTCCCTGCTTTCTAAAATACTTCTGCCTCAGCTCATTACAATTCCTCCCAGATAGTGCAGTTGAACAAGCTGA